CTAATTTAGGTACTTTAAACTTATACTGATCTGTAGTGAATCCCAGTTCCTTTCTCATCCTTGCCTTGCATCAAACATATTCCGCGAGAAAGAATGCAGCATAATGAATCAACAATATAAATATTTTAATTGAAGTTTGATTAGGAAGTTAAATTAATTAACCAAAATTTAAGTTAGTTTCAGTTATTTCCGACGTTTCAAACCAATAATTTCAAATAGTTCGTTGAATTTTGTATTGATATTTTTTTTATACTTATTTGAATGGCATCACAAGCGGTGGCTGTACGTGATATTTGAAGACAGGGAAAAGCTACATTGTCCAGAAGTGTAACAAGAAACCTCCTCAGTTTGATATCCATGCCTCAAGGAGGTGAACATCATTAAAAAATCACTCAATAGTTCACAATTCATTGACATCACCAAAGCCTTCGATCAAGTCTGGCACGAAGAGCTAATATAAAAATTATCATCAGTTGGAACCCCAATAATCAGTTGGAATCCCCTGTAATCCTGCCCAATATAGAAAATTTGCTGTTAAATATAACATACAAAAATTGCAAGTTGCCCAAAACAATTTCTTAAAAACCATCACCCAAGCTCCGTGGTTCATCTCCAACAAGCAACTGCATAACGAATTAAACATCAAACCAACCACTGACCCTAGTCCCCTCGACAACCTACATAGGTTAGTGTTAGTAGTAAATCAGATTAAGTTAAGATTGTAAGCCTGTAAATGCAAATGTAAAGTTGAACATTAACTGAACTTTGTAATTTCATATAGACTATAAATAAATTTAAAAAGGAGGAGCAGCATTGTTTTCTACCGATCAAGGGAGATGCTTTCTTGAAACAAAACCTGGTCAAAATAGACATAACAGATTCAACAGTGTATTTTCCAACATTCATTACAGAAATTGAGAGAGATAAATTAAAAATAACATGCTAATAGCATATTATAATTCATGTATTTAAAACCAAAAATTATTTCCGTTTTCGATAACAGTGTAGGATTTGTTTGTACAAAAAGTTTGCCGCAAAAAGCCCTTTTCCTGGTATTTGAAGAAGCGCATTGACCTCACGTCTCGAATATCGTCTTGTTCATCGGTCATCGGAGCAAACGACAAAAAGATAAAGATAGCCTTGATTTTGAGATGATGAGGTAATGTTTCTGAGATGCTGTTGGCTAAAATTGGCTATTGCTTACTCTAGTTATCTCGGGACTGATAGGTGATAAGAGTGAAATAATACGTCCTCTTAAACAAAGTCTTGTTACGTCAACTTAATCCCCCAAAATTAAGATAAATTTATTCCGAATTTAGTGGTTTTTTTTACATGTGGAGCAGCAAACGGATCAGGATGCTTCCACTTTACCGCTTGACTCATGACATTCACGGTAGAGTCAGTTTATAGATTTCGCGAGGTGATGGGCGTTATCGAATGGAAGCCATCTCGCTATTATCACTTATTGACTGATTGCCGCGCCCTAGTTGACATTACTTATCTTTCCATGTTTCAGTCAATGTGTCTTGCCGACATCTACGCGATTTTGAGCTTGGAATATCTCGCTCTGTGGTCTTTTATGCCCATCGTTTTACAACTGAAAGTGGAAAGATTGCCTTCTCTGTACTTTCCTTTGTCGATCCTTATTTCCTGTTCTGAAAAAGGGCATTCACGCCTCTGAAAACTTTATTTAAATTTTTAAATACTTTCTACAACGTATTATTAGCATAGCAGTTGATCTAAGAACAAATTTAGATTTGTCGAAAAAAAAGGCAGATTTTCCTTGGCATATTTACACACTTTTTTCCTCGCTTTTGTTCCATCTTTTATATGAGATTCTTAATTTATAAGCATTCCTTTTAACAGTAACTTATTTTGAGAGTGTGTGAGAGAGGGAAGAGTATTTTCGTTAAAAGTTGAATGAACGACTTGATTATTTCTAATGTACATATAGTTTCATTCAAACAATCATGTTTATGGAAGATCTTTTTGTCACTGATATCAACTCTGCTTACACTCAATCTCTCTAAAAAATAATGAAGTATTGGTTCTCCCGCTGTTCTGTGTGCACTGGCTTCGGATTTAATAGATCAATCATACATCGTTTTTTCACTTCAAATCGCATTGTTCTTCTTCACGATCCGTAGCATCCGTAGAACGATACAACTTCCATTCTCGTGTAACACAATGTAATTTGAAGGTGCTCTCATTTGCAATATAGAAATGGGACAGATTCTATATTGTTTCAAGATGACTTCGAATCCGAAAATTCCAAAATTCTGCACAACACTTGAACATTTGATTTATAATTAAAGGAATGATAATTATAATTTTAAATAGAAATTTACAATAGGAAACAAACATACAAAGAAAGGGACATTGCGAAGGAACCAAAGAATTCCTGAATAAATTTGTTCGTAACTCTCTAAGACATCTCTTTCATTCTTAAATGTAGAAAAAGATTGAAGAAAGTTTTATAACGTGTTACATTATGTATAATAAAATAATAGAAATATGAACCCCCTGAAGAATTTCAAAGAGCCTGTTAATTTTTGAACGTTCGAATCTCAGATCTGTTCCATAAAGTCAGGATTTGAAATACTTTAGTGCAAACAGTGAACACCAATGTGACTGTAAACGCCATTTGTTCCAAAACAAACACACACGATTCTTCCCTCAATGCACGTGCGACTTGTAACGTGGGCGCTCTAAACGGTTGTGGCCGGAGCAGCAGCTTTCATCTCTAGGAGCCACGGCGCAAAGACCAGCCAATCCACGTGGAATTTGTGGAGGCAATGCTGGTTCGCGGCAGACTGCCTCCTTCCCCCTTTCCATCTATCCCCCTGCTCCTCTCTCTGCTCTTATCCCTCTCTTCTCCCCTTCCCCGCTCCCTCCTCTTCCTCTCTCTCCCTCCCTTTCCGCCTCTACCTCCCCCTCTTTCTCTCCGTCTTCCCCTTCCGTCTCCGCCTCTCTCTCCCTCTGCCTTCCCTCTCCACGCTCTTTCTCTCTCCCTCCTCACTCTCCCCGTAATCAGCCCATATCTTTCCTCTCTTGCCCCCTATCTCCTCTTCTCCCTCCTCATCTCTCTCTATGCACTGTTTACTCCATCTTCATTGTTATGAATTACCTACTTTTCTCACACGAGCATTGTCATCACATCCCGCCATTAATACCGCAACGAGGAGGAACAACGAGAATTGCTTTGAAATTCGGCCGTCAGAACTGCGTCCGATGTGTCGCGCCCCTGCAACTTGCATCAGACGAAATCGGCCGTTCAGGCGCAACCAGTTGCCTTCCAGCACGGTGTTTCCATAGTCTTTTCCTACCGAATCCGATCAACTTTTCGGGTACAAACATCGATGTTGCAAACATACATGTTGTATGCCCCTCGGACACCTTTTGGATTAACTGAACACAACAAGCATTCGAAGAGTTCGGGCTTTCTAGTAGCAGTAGTTTCTAGTAGTAGATTACCATTCCCCCACATTTGCCACATAAAGTTTTACTGCTCTTTGACGGATGAAAATCAAATGTCGAAGAAGGTCGGTCGCGCAGGCATGGGAGAAACTGCCAGTCTGATAAAACGTATCTTTCATTTCAAACATTCTAGTTCTAAACTCAAAAGATATCTCTTGGTTGACATTTTAGAAGAGATTTTTTTAAAATATTTCAAACTTATTTAAATGCACTAGAGTCGCGGTAATCTGAGCCTCGCTAATCCGAGGTTCCGCGCAGTTCGAGGTTGATTAATGTGCACCAAATCACCGAACAAGCGAACAAGTGGCGATAATCCAGAACTGACTCTTGAAAGAGTTGACACCACTGCGTGTCAGTTCTACATTGTTGTGACTGGTTTGCGCTCATGTGTGTACGTATCTGCAACTTTAATCCCATCTTCTCATTAAGCTTGGCTTCATGATGCATTTTAGTTAAAAATTCCGTTATGTACAATATTTTCCTATCTTCCGTGTAATCCGAGGTACCGTCAGCCCCAATTACCTGGGATGACCACGACTCCACTGCATGTCGTTATATTCCCCTAAAGTCAAAATATGCTTGGTCGTCACAATGGTACTAAAATTGAACAAAATATTTTGAATATTGATTCCAAACAATACAAAATGAATTTGTATTCTTAATGCAGATCATTAATGAGAGAAAAAAACATGCAAATATGCAAAATACTCTTCCAAGTCATAAGTATACAAACCGTAGAAAACAAAATAGCTAGCTCTACAAATGATTGTAACACCTGTAACTTCCACCTGGAAATTCCGCCTCTTGCAGTTCTCTCGTTTTAATGGGCGCCTCGCGTTGTTCGTGTTTCAACGCGTCGACTCCCTCTGCCCGTGAGGCGCATGTAGTGCGTGAAGGCTGCCTTCCTGCACGCCCCGAATCCCTCGCCCGCCACCCTCCGCGTGTCCTCCGCGGCTGTGCTCTGCTCCGCTCCGCTCCCACCGCCCTGCTTTCTGCGGTAGGCGCGGCTTCCTCGGTTCGCGGTTGCTGGCCCCGAGCGAACGCTTTTCGCGAGATCGTGGCGATTCAAGCGGGCCTGTCCAGGCCAGATTTTTTTGACAGCTTCTCAAACGGTTGAACATCGCCGATGACCGCATCGCACCGCGAAGTGGGTTCATCCGACGATCAGAAAGGCTGTAGCGCCAGTAATTGATGTGGGGAGATTTCTGTGAGAAGGGCCCGCTTTGTCAGCTACTGCGTGGCCATTGCTGGCAATATAATTGCAGGTTATGTCCATGCTCTCATTTTGTCACTGTGTTCGTTTACAGTTAGCCCATTGGCAAATGGCTTCATTACTATCTCTTGCAATGTCACCGCCTTGCATGTCATTCATTTGTTTATGAATTTTATTTGTAAGTGGTTTCGCATCTGCTTTTGAACGTTTTCTTCTCCAGTATATTTGAGACGAAATATTGTCAGTTGACGTTAAATGTTAGCTTGAAAAGTGTATATTAATTTCCTTAATTATCTTGTTTGGTTTTCAGGTACTTGGTGAGGATGGCCGATAAGACAGCACAGGAGAGGATAGGACTTCGACGCTGGTATGTGAATGGATGTAACCAAAGAGAGTCCACTCGTGAATTACTGCGAATTTGCCCAGGAAACCTACTGCAGCTCACACACAGACAGCATGAAGTACGCATTTCCTAATAATATTTAAATATTTACTCGTACTGTTGAAATTTCAATGCATTTGAAATGTTTTAACCAGAGTGATAAAATGAAAAATTGCGTAATAAATATAAGTGGTCGAAACGTCTCTAGAGATTAGAGATTTGCTATACTCTGCGCTGTGAAAAGTCATTAAAACTTTGAATGTAACAAACTTTTTTTTTTTTTTTGCTTTTCCGAATTCTTACTGCGATATGACGTTTAAATGAACTTATGAATTGGAAGTAAAAGTTTGTTACATTTTCATTGAATATTTTTTCCAATGTTTTCAAAGATATGTATCATACGGAATACTTATTTGTAAACGATTTATTTGAAAATTGTTAATATTGTGGCTCTCCGAGATAATTCTGCTGAAAGAGTAGGTACAAGCCTGCTTTAAAACACACCGTTAATCTTGGATTATCGTTACGCTTATATATTTATGTTAATATGTATCACACGCTTTTATGAAGTGTATTACATTTTGTTCCTTAATGACGGTTTTTAGTACTGTTTCTCTTTCGAATGCAAATTATTTCTGATACACTTTGAATTCATCGAAGATGAATGGATGCCGTGTTACCCGTTTTTTCCGAGACCTGTGTAGGCATTCTCTTATTTGCTGCCATTTCATATCTTGTGCATCTTATGTAGCGTGCATGCATTTCTCCGTGACGCATTTAGATATTACAGTGCACAGGTTGATTGTAAACCGTAAAATCCGTGACGAACCTCTTGTTCATCATGATACTTATCAAGAGACTTCATCGAGAGTTAATGGTGAACGAAAAAAAACATCACTTGCATAACGTATCATTCTTCCTTGTGGAACTAATTATTACTTTAAATGAAACCAAGTTCACTCACTTTACGAGAAGACGACAGAGGTTACACAAAATAGTAATTTACTTCATCAGGCAAGAAAGTCCACCTTTTAGTGACGAGACTGGAGAGTTCACCCGCCGAGGGCGGTAGGCGGGGAATCCTGTCGATTCATGAAGAAGGTCTTTTGCCGTGTAATGTACAATATTTTGTTCAATACCCTTTCGTATGCATGTTTTCCTGTAATTAAATTATATCCCTGATATGAAACATAGTGTGGTCATTACTCGATAATTTGTTCTGTTAGCATGACCACATACTATTTGATCGTTTTAGTTTCCTAGTTTCTTTAATTGTAACAAGAATGTCAGTTTCTATCAATGTAATGGATCTTGAAATGGGAGATAATGGAAGGTAATTATATATTATAAATGACGCACACTCTGCCCGATATATTACAACTAGGAGCTGCAACTTTTGACACTTTTCCATTAAAATCAAAAAAAGATATATGTGTAAGAATATAGGGAATTTTGTTTAATGGCAAGAGGCGAGAGTGGTAAGAAGTGTCTTAGAAAATAAGCTTCTCCGATTCTTTTCAGAAATGAGTAGAACAGCCCTTTAATAGATTGTTCAATTACAATTAATACAAATAGTTACAAATAAAATATCAATTGATAAGTGCCTTTTTGAAAGACTTGAAAGCTAACTCAATATATTTTTAAATGGAACCTTTGTTATGTAGCTTGATGGGGTAATCAACGGTAATACGCCTTTCATTCCCAAACGAAATGCAGTCCAAAAGCAATTGTACTAAATCAAGTTAGAATTTAAAGAAATTATAATTATTAACGTTGACGCTGCATCTTACGAAAAGGAGGACTATTCTATAGAGGCCAAATGTTTTTCATTCGCATGTATACGTTTGCCTTTCTTGAATGCAATGCTTGCTCACCTCACGAAACACACGATGCTGACAGGTGATGTAGCGAACGCCTTGGGCGAATTGGGGATGCTGCTGACCAACAGAGGGAACGGTTTCCTTTAACGGACTGTGCTCCGAGCTTCTTGATAAGTGATGCATCTCTGACGGCGCTGGGCTGCGAACCACAAGAAACCGTTGATTACCCCAGCAGCTGCGAGGGGGGGGGGCACACTATGAGATGAATCACGAATCCTCTGGCCAAAGACATTACGGAAGCAGTTTTGCTGCTAGTCGTTGCTCTTCTCTTGCTTCTTATATTATCGTATAGTGCTTTTGTTATTCCAAATTATCTATACCTATACTAGTAGTATTGTACGTTGGTGTACGAGCAAGTGAACATTAATAGTTGTAAAATATTTTCGCTCGTTTCATTTAAAACAGTAACCATGAAAACTCGCTGCTGGTAATATGTAATGTGAATTTCAAGCTTTCCTTGATGTAGAATTAGAAGTATACGATTTCCTACCTTACTGTTTGCATTAACACCTTTTAAAATAATTACTTGCTTAATCGACTGCGTTGCATTTTTCTATCATGTACATCACAAAATAATCATGCCATATTCAAAGAACGACACATATTTAAACGACTTGCAGATAATTCTGCTTCTTTGCATTTTCGTAAAATATTTCGATTCTCAGTAATTTGAGACCGCCTCTCCGTAAGTTAGTTCCAAATCATCGTTTTCATAATGATTTGAAACTGCCGACCATTTGTGCGTTTTTTAAAGATCTGGCAATTACGCTGATTGTGGAAAATATTGTTTGAGCGATGAAGTAATCTTGCGAATACACAATTACAATTTCTTGAATTTTCTACACGTCTTAACGATGAATAGGAAATAAGAGAAGCATATTCATAATTTATTATTAGATGTTTTGTGACTTTTATCGAAAAATTCTTAACGTTTTTAGTATTTTTTAATGAATGGTATCTTGATCTTAATTATACATCATTGGCCAGTCCACATTCAGTTATTGACTTTCAATCGACTCTTTAATAATTTTATAATCATAATTTATTCATTTTGTCAATTGTTTTGTGAATAACAGAAAATAATATATTTTTTGAAACACTTTGTTAATACTTATCCCTCCCTATACTAAAAGCAATAAATGCTTATTCAATGTAAGCCCCTCCAGATCATTTTTATAGGGTGTTCCCTCTACTCATTATCTTCTCTTTTTCTACTATTTTCCATTCCCATTCTTCTTTTCTGCCATAAAAAGAAATTATCATGTACTTTTTGTTTACCAGAGAGACAAATGGGGAGACGGAAAGTGATCCGTCTACATAAATTGTCTCTGTAATAAACATTTATATAAAGTTAAGCTGACTTGCCAACAAGACGAAAGTGAATGGAGAAGGAGACCAAATCGATCTTCTTCGTTGCGTTGGTCGTTTTCTGCATCCCGAGAGAGCACTGACATTCGCCGCCTGAGGTCCAGTTAGCAGAACGGTTGCGCAGCGGCCGGCCACTGCACTCGCTTACGATTCGCATTGTGGCCAAATGACGCACATGGGGCCAAAATCTCAAAAATAAAATAAATATAAAATTATAATTTTTTTTACATATATTATGTAAAATATAAAATAAAAGTATTATTCTATTTCGTAACTCACTTTTTTCTGTTATTAAACTTGGTTCAGAAGTTAACAGACTGTTCCTCCAAACCGTATCTGACCCATTGTCATTTCGCTCTTTGCGTATTTTTGCCCTGATGCAACTTTGTCCTTCATTAAGTTTTGTCCACGAATGTTTCGTCCAGTTCTTTTTAGTGCTATGTGAACTTTCGTCCTGCATATTAGCCTTGACTTATTTTGTCCGGATTTCATTTTCTTAAAATAGTTGAAGCTGCGCCGAAGAAATATTACAGAAAAATATACGAACCAAAAGAGGTATGTTTAGTTCATTACCGAAATCGTAACTCAATTACAGATTTTGTTTTAAAATACATGGTTTCCGATATACATATGTCTTCATCTTCAAAACTGCAGTCATGCATTGCTTCAGTTGTCCATTTTCTTTATATCCATTGAAATGTATGTGTTCGACACGTTTTAGATTTGAAAGTCACAGATTGACGACAATGCTATGGACTTACTCCAATGGAATGTTATTCCATCGTGATCGGTCTATAGATATATTGGACCATCTTCCTGAAGATCGAAAAATCTATGGACAAAATACCATTGAACAAAAATGCTATGGACTAGCCCCATGGTACTTAAGTTAGTTGAACAACTGATTTTTGATGTAATGTTTAATGGACTAAATCTTTGGATGAACTTTCCTGAAAATGATTGAGAAGAAACGATTAATTATCTTGGCAACATTTGGTTCTGCAGACAACCCCATCTCATCCAATTATAAAGCAATAGTATGTCTCATTTCATTTCATTCCATTCATTTTTACCCTTCGTTCTATTTGTCTTCGCGAATCAAATATGAGATGATCAAAGTCATAATTTCGTATCTCACTTGATAAGAGTGTGGATAACAGAAGTCGGTCTCCGGTGGGATAAATATTGAATTTCGTGACTCATTTTTAGACATCGTTATTTGAGAAAATTTCGACGGCAATTAGGTATTGGTAGAAATTGGGTAGAACGTGTGTTAAATCATTTGTAATAGCACGAAGACTAAATGATGGCCGATGAGGTAGCGTGGTAATAATTAGGCGGGAAGTGCAGTTGAAGCGTCTGAAAGAGAAAGCTCCCGTATCGCTGACGTATAGTACATATAACTATTAATAAGTGGTCTAGAAATGTTTTTTTTTTCAATTTTACTATAACGATGTCTGTAAAATAAAGTTAGAATAGACTCGGAGAGTTGCATTAGTAAAATCATTAACGTTAACTGACAACAGAGTATACTCAACCAAATGTGTATATTTATTTTCTAATATGCATGGCTGCTGTTTCCGTCACTGAATATAGTTATTATAGAAGCCAGGTACTCGTTTTTGTCGCTTCCATACAGCAGAAAACTGATGATGGCTAAGCCATCGAAAGCTGCTTTTTTAATAAATAATATTTTTGGCAATGACGACGCATATAATTATTTCTGTCACTGAATTTCCACTGCGCCCAGTTACAAACCTTTTAACACTTTCCAATTGGCCATATTAATTTTGTGATATCAAATGTAATATCATATTAAAATTCTAGACTT